GGAAGAGTTCTAACAAGCAGGACAAAAAATATGTCCATGCGAGAATGTTGCAAATAGGATCAACCTCCTTTACATATGTCATGCTAGGAAAACTGCCAAGAATGGCTCACTCCTCTAGACACACTTCCTGCAGATCCACCAGACTCCTCCTCAAACACGTCAGTATTCTCCTCATTCTGCTTAGTCTCAAACCTCCTTTTGCCCTAAGATTTCCAAGTGCATATTTTATAGTCTCAAAAATATATGGCAATATGATAAGACATCCTATTTATCAGTACTTTTATTTCATAGCTGAACAAACAGCCTAAAATGCCTTATACAGAATTTGCTTTTAATGAGATTTCTAATACGTTAAATTACTGAAGATAAATTTTCTTTGCAAATAAATTGGTCTTTATTTTCAAAAAACTGTATTTCTTTGTAAATAAAAGATTTATCATTATATCAAGATAAAGAAATATGATAGCAAAAAAAAATGTTTTTTAATGTAAGGAGTACAACTATATCCTTTCTCCCCAGCCCCACCAATGAAACATATATCAGAGTTCAGAAATTGGCAGAATTTCAGATCCATTCCATACAAATCAAAATTTATTAAACACAATATACGTATTTTGACAAGTCCAAAATAAAATGCAGCTTTCCAAGTACTCTATTAGAAGACCTCTTTTTAAGTCAGTAAGTTTACCTAGGGAACTTTTCTGATAAAAGGAATTCTCCCAGCAAACCAGCAACCAGACACTGGGATTTTTGCACTTCCACAGAACTCCAGATTTTCAGGTAGCACATCTCCATTGGGATTTATTGTATGAGGATTTGGAGAGCAAAAAGCAGAGAAAACAGATCAGAAGCTACATATAAACGACAAAACTTTACTGAAATAGAAAATGAACTTAATTAACTAGTGTTAATTGAACTTCCACTTGTAAAAATAATTTACATGAATATTCTTTGAAATGGGAAAAAGAGCCTCACTAAACTGTACAGTCAAAAGCAGTTTCTTTGGGATTTAAAAACCATCATTTTTTTCAACAACAGATTAACAAATCTCACTGTAAAAAGGGTTGAGCAATAAGAGCAATTTGTAGATGAGTATGATTAAATTATGGGTAAATAGTAAGTCAACTGAATAAAGTCCATTTATCAAAAAGCAAGTAATCAAACTAATGTCCACAACTATGAAGAATGAATTTTACATTTTTCCCACTATTAAAGATTTTACATTCTTCATCAGTTAGTAAAGAACCAAATGATCTATATAAAAGTGCCTACCAACTGTACAATAACTTAAAGAACAACCATTCTGGTGGCAGGGATACTTCATTTAACTCAATGCAAGGAATTTAAAAGCTTTCATCCTTGCAACCTTTGTCACAAAAATTAGTAAATTTGTTTTATGAAAAGAGTGCCTATGTGTTTCAACTCAAATATGCAATGATTACATGTTTTGTGACTTTCCAAAGATTGAAATTTTTTTCAAAGATTGAAATTTTAATAAAATATTTAAAAAATGAAATACAAATAAAAATTTTTCGGAGAGAGAAAAATCTAAAATTCCTGATGCAAAGCTACTCCAAAAGTTTATTCACAGTTTCATAAAACATTAATGAAAGGGTTACATAAATCTCCTGGAATAAAAATCATAAAGAGAGATGTAAGAATCTCTGTTTTCAATACTGCTTTCTCTGTTCTTACATCCATTAAAACAGATATAAATTAACTCTTTCTAAATATAAACCATCTAGTCTTATAGAAAAAAAATCAAACGAAGAACAGCAAAATATATATGTATATATTCTCAATATAGCTTTAAATAAGTATGTAGATTACATTTAGGTCCCTCAAACAAGTTAAACTTACAACATATGCCACATCAAGATTATTCTCAAGGGAAAAAACCATCGGAACAAAAGCTCCCACTTAATAAACTACTTTGTAGTTAAAACTCTATCCCAGGTGCATTTAATTGTCCAGTATTATCACCATTTTTCTTCAAAAACCTAGAAATCTAAAATACACAAGTATATTTGGTTCTCTTAAAAATGCTTTTATAGTATATATTTTGTATGAATGGCCATGAAAAACTTAAAAATTCCTTTACTCTCTAAAAAGGAAACACCCTTTTGCTTTTCTCTTTTGAAATGTGTCTTATTTGGTTTTTACTTACTTTCTACACATGACCTTTTCTCAAACCAGTCTCTTTCAGTATTAGTTGTTTACTGTCAATATGTCTGTGTATACTTAGGTTTTTTATAGACTGTGCTTTACAGTATACTGGTAAGAAAAGCTAAAGAAGAGGGCATGAGTGAAACAAAAGTGGACCACATCTGAGAAACACCATTCAATTTCAACTCTCTGCCTCAAATACCCTTCAGTACTCATGCCAAATATTCTTAATTTCTAAAAAGAAGCACAACACAGTATGATAAAGCAAACACAGGAGAAACCAAATCATCAACTGTAAGAAATTTAACAGAATGTATCACCACCTGAGAAAGAAATACCACAAAAAGAAAAACAAATAATAAACCCAGTTCCTGGATGTCCCTACTGAAACATCACTTTTACTGTACTCCATAGCTCAAAACAGTTTTACAAACTCTTTTTAGTGTAAGAAATACATTTTACATTGTAACCCAGTACACACATGTACGTCATCCTGGTAGCTCAGATGGTAAAGAATCCACCTGCAATGCAGGAGACCCGGGTTCGATCCCTGGGTCAGGAAGATCCCCTGGAGAAGGAAATGGCAACCCACTCCAGTATTCTTACCTGGAGAATTTCATGGACAGAGGAGCCTGGCGGGCTCCTGTCCATGGGGTCACAAAGAGTTGGACACGACTGAGCGACTAACACACATGTATGAGCAAAATTTCCCAAAACAATATTTTTCCTTGCCATGTGCAATAGTAGTCAATTCTGTCCTATTTCATTTATTTGTAATGCTGGTGGTAACCCACTAAATTGACTTTATAGTTACTAACAAAGTATCATCCAGTTCAAAAAACACAGGCTTAAAATAGGGTAAGCAAAAGGAGAAGGGGGCAGCAAAGGATGAGATGGTTAGATAGCAAGCATCATCAACTCAACGGACATGAATCTGAGCAAACTCTGGGGGATAGTGGAGGACAGAGGAGTATGGCATGCTGCAGTCCACGGGGTCGAAAAGAGTTGGACTCGGCTTAGCAACTAAACAACAAAAAAACCAGGGTATCCCTTACAGAGTATTAGGACTTTTTTTTTTTTTTGCAATTTGCTTCTACCTGTCTAGCAGGTAGACAGGTATTTTAAGGCTGCTACATTATTTTGTTGTTTTATTCGCTGAGTCGTGTCTGATTCTTTTCCGACCCCATGGGCTGTAGCCCGCCAGGCTCCTCTCTCCATGGGATTTCCCAGGCAAGAATACCAGAGAGGGTTGCTATTTCCTTCTCCAGGAGATCTTCCCCACCCAGGGATGGCAACGTGCGTCTCCAGAATTGGCAGGTGGATTCTTTATCACTGAGCCACCAAGGAATCCCCTGCTACATTATTACTACTTTCAATAAAGCAAGTGGTTCTTAAAATGTTCCCCTGACCAACATAAGCATCACCTGAGAGAAATTCAAACTCTCAGGCCCTACAGTACCAGATACCTACAGTACCTGACACCTACAGTATCAGAAATTCTGGATGGAACCAGCAGTCTGTATTTTAGCAAGTCCTCCAGGTGATTCCAGTTCAAGTTAAAGTTCCAGAACGACGCATTAAAGAATTCAAGCCTTTCTTCATTCTCTACACATTTGTAAAAAATCCAGTATATAGGACTTATTCTTTGCCAGTTACTATTCTCAAAGTTCCACAGATATTAATTCACGTGAATTAAAAAAAAAACCCTAAGAAGTAGGAAGTATCCTTATCCTTATTATACAGATGAAACTTCTTCACAGAGAGGTTAAGCTATCTAAGCTAGGTGGTGGAACCAGAATTCAAACTTATTTCTAATTTGGAGAAAGTAAGCCTGCCCCCCTCTTCATGCCTCTCCTCTTCCTGATCAAGTCCCGGTCCTACTCCTTTAGTTCAGCTACTCCTCCCTTTTTCCCATTCAAATTCCCCATCTTGTCCATGTCCTTATTTTCATACATGATTGCTCTCGTCCTAAACATTTCTTTCCTAAAGCACTGGAATGCAAGTCACAACCTTGCTTTGAGAACCCTTTCTCTGGCCCTAGATGGCATGTTAGTATTATTATGCAGCTGAAGTTTCTTCTATTTCTGAAGTTATTAGAACCTATTAAAGGCCCCCATGTTATTCCTCGTTACCTACTGTCCTGGTCAGGTTCCGCAAGACCACTAGTCTCTTCCTGAGCAACTTTCTCGCTCCCTCCTACGAAGCCCTATTTCCTACTCCCTTCCTACAAGGAAACTACTTCTCCCGCCTACCCCCCGAGTCATTTTGCTTGACTAATCCTCAACTGAGAGGACTTCACTCGGCTAAACCTCTCACTTCTCAAACCCGAGCTACCCCCTCGAGGTTTTGTTGGTGGTCCCCCCCCCCCCAAACTCTGCTCTCCCGGGGATCCTCACACCCAGTTCCAGTCCAGTATCTCCCATCGCAGACCAGCGGTGGGGGGCAGGGCGCTCCCGTCCCTCCCCAGACTGTTCAAGGTCTCCAGCGGTCCGACCAACCGAAGCCCCGCCAGAGCTCCCACAGCGCTGCTCTCGCGGATGGCCGCCTTTCTCAGGAGAATCCCCAGCCCCCTCCCTGCCTCTTTCCTCGACGCCCCGACTGGGGATCCCTGTCACCCAAGGCCTCCCTTCTCCCTCGGACCCGGGCCACTCCCAGTCACCGCCCCCCCCCCCCCCTCGCCCCACGCCTTCCCCAGCTTTCTCCGCTCGGGCCGCTCCCGGACTTCCCGGGTTCCCCCACTTCTTCCGCACACCTAAAGGTGTCCGGAGTATTCCCGAGTCACCGCGTCCCTCGGGCCAGGTCGTAACCGGTCACCCCCTTCTCCGGGACCCCAGATGCTCCTATCTCCCCCAAGAAACTACCTCTCACACGCACCGGTCGCCGGTCAGTGTCCCATACCCGACCAGCTAGGCGTCCCGAGGGACCTGCTGGCCTGACCCGCTTCGGTCCGGCCCCGCAGCCTACCTTGCCACACTACGAACTCTGCCGCAGGAGCCGGGCGGCTCTCGCACCAGCCCAGTCAGGGCGAACTCGCCGCCGTCGCCGTCGCCGCCCCCGCCCTGGCCCCCGCCGGGGCCGGGCTGGACCCGCAATCGAGGCCCCCCTCCCGCTGGCTTCCGCCTCGGGAGCGCCGAGATGGAGTTTCTACCCCCACCCCCCGCGACGGCCCCCAGACCTCAGGCCCGCATTATCCGAACTCACCTGCAGCTGCCGCCGACCAACTCCAGCGCCCCTGCCTCTCTACCTCGGGCGCCAGTAGCCACCTAGCGCCTCCACCTCCCCCATGACAACAGTCCCACCCCGTTTCACACTTCCTACCTCGCGATTGGGTAGTGGGGCGGCAGCTCTCTGCTCTTATTGGTTTAGTTTACCCGTCCGTCAACGCTGCCTTACCGCCCCTTTTCCTGACCCGGTATTAGCCCCTTCCCGGACCTGGAGCGTCCTAGACCAAACTTTAGTTGTAATTGGTTGATGGTTGGACAGTTCAAAATTCTGATAGGCTACCGCAAGTATCTATTAAGTCAACTGGCAAAGGATGGTCGGCTCCGGTTGGTTGGAGCTTGGGCACAGTTTGGTTGCGCAGTAGAAAGCGAGGAAGGGACTGACGCTCAAATCCGACGGGAAGGATTAACTCTTTGTGGTAGAGGTGACTGTAAACTCGTGCCTTTCTCCAACTTTCTCCCAATAAGGAGAAGCTTATCACTGCCAGCTTACTCAGAGGGTAGTACTTAGACAAAACAGCAACATTAGAATTTGTGTATAAAAATCGATTACAACTCGGTGAGAGAAACGCTCTATATAGATTAAAATTTTCCCTTGAGGTCCTATGGTGCCCAATTTCCTTGACGTTCTTTCCAGAAGTCTCCATGCTAAAGGGCAAAGCACAACCGTTTATTTAGCAGAAGTCAGTCCACTTTGGTTGCAGTTAATAAATTGAGGTGGCGTGTTACGAGGTCTCCCCCTTCCAGATTCACTCATGGCTGTCTTCTGCGAAATGACCAGGCAGCCAACAGCAAGTTTGGACTAAATGGGCCACAGATTACCCTTGTGATGCTCTGGAAAAGAGAATTCGGCTCTCTGCAACTTGACTTTTATGCTCAGCAGTTCTTAAATAACCCTACTAGATGTGTGTCAGATACTTAACAATTTGTCTTTTTTTCTAAACCTCTCTTCCTAGCAGTCTAAATTAGGACCGTTGAATGAATTGCAGTTCTTTTCTCATATTGGCACAATGCAGTAGAATAAATGATTGCGTTTTTATTCATTTGGGTACAAATCACAGTAGGCACTCTTGAGAAATTTGATGTTGCTATAAATTCAGCTTTTTGCTTTTCTTTTTCACTTCCACCCACTGTTCCTGCTCCTGAATGGCAAAATGATGGCCTAATTACTCTTTCAATTTCTAAATCAGATTTTAATAAATGTACCTTCCTCACAACTCCACCCAGCACACGTAAACTCAATGGGTCATGAAACATACACTCAAGAATGGATTGGGAAAGTTCAAGGGTACTTCCCCCTTAAGCATCCCTTTATGACTGGGGACTTCCTGTGGCACCAAGACTAGACCTTGCCCCTTTCTTATTCCTGCTCTTTGTTCCATATCTCTTCTATTTACCCTTCTGTCCTATTTCAGCAAGCTACAAGAAGTGTAAAACTGTGTGGTTCATTATCCCCCCACCAAAGAAAAAATTGTCTATTTTCTAACATGTATTTTTAGTCATTTAAATAAACTATATACTTCTATCACCAAACTAAGCGGAAATTATTCCTCCAGTAACTCTACATAACAGTAAGGTGTCTTTTCCTAGTTTTTTTCCCAGAACTTTCCTCCCCCTTCTCTCATCCTCACCTTCCAATTTAGAAATAACCTCCCCTTCAATTCAATGACTCATAAAAAGACTGTGAAAGGAAAGCGGAAAAGCCAAAATAACTGCAGAAATGTCTGAATCATTCAATTGAAGGAAAGATCAGACATTGACCATGATAAGATGGCATTCAAGACATAAGGTAAGCCTTAACTAACATCCCAGTACAAAAGAAGTAACATGTAAATGTGAAGATGCTCCAGTGAAAAGGAGGTAGCAGTATGTCCGAAGCTTTTGAATGTATTACCAGCAGCTTTCTTCTCTCTAGTCTTGGCAGTGTGTCCTACCTACCAATTTTAGAGCAAGTTAGAAGGCAATTAATGTCCTGGCAGATAGAAAACAATAACGTCATAGGAGGGCATGACCATTATTATGGTACTTTGGGTAATAATGGCTCATTCACAGTCATAGTGACTCTGAACATAGAATTAGGCCAGCCTTACTAAGAGTACTTGCCATGGAAGTTCAGGAACTCAACAAAATTATTATCACAAAACTAGGAAAATTGCCACAAAGTCCAGCTATTCCTTTTATTTCATTGTATCTATTTATTTATTTTCACCACACAACATAGCATGTGGGATCTTAATTCCTCCACCAGGGATGGAACCTGCATCCACTATAGTGGAAGCATGAGGTCTTAACCATTGGACCACCAGGGAAGTCACCCTTCTATTGCATATAAAAGAGTGAAAAACTTGGCTTAAAACTCAACATTCAGAAAATTAAGATCATGGCATCCGGTCCCATCACTTCATGGCAAATACATGGGGAAACAATGGAAACAGTGACAGACTTTATTTTCTTGGGCTCCAAAATAACTGCAGATGGTGACTTCAATCTTAAAATTGAAAGACCCTTCCTCCTTGAAAGAAAAGCTATGACCAACCTAGACAGTATGTTAAAAAGCAGAGACATTACTTTGCCAACAAAGGTCTGTCTAGTCAAAGCTATGGTTTTTCCAGTAGTCATGTATGGATGTAAGAGTTGGACTATAAAGAAAACTGAGCACCAAAGAATTGATGCTTTTGGTCTGTGGTGTTGGAGAAGACTCTTGAGAGTCTCTTGGACTGCAAGGAGATCCAACCAGTCAATCCTAAAGGAAATCAGTCCTAAATGTTCTCTGGAAGGACTGAAGCTGAAGCTGAAGCTCCAATACTTTGGCCACCTCGTGTGAAGAACTGACTCATTGGAAAAGACCCTAATGCTGGGAAAGATTGAAGGCAGAAGGAGAAGGGGGTGACAGAGGATGAGATGGTTGGATGGCATCACCAACTCGATGGACATGGGTTTGAGTAAGCTCTGAGAATTGGTGATGGACAGGGAAGCTTGGCATGCTGCAGTCTACGGGGTCACAAAGAGTCAGACACGACTGAGCAACTGAACTGAAAAAAAAAAAGGCATTCATATATGTTTTTGTTCATATGTGCATATACACTTCTATCACTCCCATTCCTTGTGAAAATCAGTTAAGAGGGAAAATGTAATATAAACACATACAACCCAGTAAGAGAGAAAACCTTAAAGAAGGAAGGTTTTAAGGAACATTCTTTGATGCAGCAGAAGGCTATTCTGTTATTGAAGCCCATGCAGTAACTGGAAAAGTTATTGCTTGTACCCTACATTTTGATTTTGTGTCCACAAAGTAATCTTATAATGCAATTACTCCATCTAACTTCTCTTTTCTTTCCTGTGTTAGGTGCTTCTCCACCACTCTCAAGGCCTGCTCTTAAAAAGCAAGGACACTGGAGTCAGGGAGTCTGCAACTCTGTGTTGCGTGGCTGGTTGTGGAGGTGGTACAGATGGTATCTGTGCAGAACCACTTGAGCAAAACCAGCATGGCAGGTGTATTAAAGGCAAAAATAGCCTTTATAAATCCTGATTAAGTGGGAAATGATGGACTCAGAGTGATGGCCCAATATCTGAGTGGTAGGGTTTGCCTTGGGCTGTCATATGTGCTGGTGCATTTTGCTCTCTTTTCTTTGCTACTCCTCTCTTTGATCATACCACTTTTCAACGGAGCAAAACCCAAGTGTCTTTACATTTCTATTTTAGTCCAGGAGGACAAACTATGAAGACTCCGTTTGGCTGTTTTTGTTTGCTTTGGGGGGGATTTTTTTTTTCCTCCCTGGTTTCTGCACACAATTCCAAATGGATTAGAGAAGCAAACAGACGGTGGAAAAGAAAATCAGTCAGATAAACAGACGAGGGCCAGAGCTGCCTGCTGCTAGCAGTTAGGGGCAAAGTCATAATATTTGATAAGAGATGGTTCCCTGAGTTTAGGATCCCTGAAAGTGGAGGTTGACAGGGATATAGGGGTTGGAGAGAAGGGAGGAAAGAGACAAAAGTGAGACAGAGACAGAGAGAATGAGAGCTGAGAGAGAGAAAGCCCTTGGAGAAGAGGGTAATGAACATGAGAGTGTCTAGAGGCCACAGTCAGAGTGCTGAGACAGCTTAGAGTCCTACCCTCAACCGCCCCAGATATGGACTTTACACCAGGTTGCACAATGGAACCAGCAAAGTGCAGCCTCTGCCACTGATTGAAAGGAGAATGGGGCCAGAACTCTACCCTATGGCATCATTGCTCTGTTGCCACCTGGAAATAGCCCTGAGCTCAAAGCCTGCTGCTTTGGCACCAGGCAAAGCCGACAAGGAAGGTTAGATTCCTGCAGTCAGCCAGTGAATGCATCTTCTTTTGATTTCATAAAGGTGACCACTGGCATGAAGCTCTGGGTAAACAAAGGGAAATTTTCTGGAAGAAGATGTTTTTGCCATCCCAAACTGGGGAGCTTCCAACAAAGGAAGGTGCCAAGTTGTTTTCCACACTGGAACAAAGCACTGTGGTTTCAAAATTCAAGACTCTGTTCCTTGCATGGGAAGAAGCAAAAAAAATTTTTAAAGTCAGTGGAAAAGGGTGTCCTCTCAGGCAGAACCATTTGATTTCCAATTCTAGGGCTCATGTGATTTTTAAGTAGCACACCATACCATCTCATTACTCAATGCAGGCATTTTCATCCTCAAGAAAAGTCCTCTACCCACCCTCTACCCACCTTGCATAGCATAGGTAAGATGGCTTGAGTGCTTGTAAAATGGACAGGTTGCAGCTCTTAGCTCTGCCATTGTTCTATTGAATGGAGCCCCTGGTTACTATCACCAGATCTATGGGTGGACCAGCCATTCTTCTGCAACAGGGAGTGGACCACTCAAAGCACTTAGCACCGTTTAAACTTTTGTCCATCCCAGTTTTACACGTACACACACACACAAAGAGTTTCCTGGAAACCTGGCTGTCTTCCAAGGATTTCAGAGAGTAAAATGCCTTCTAGAACTCCAGTTTCCTAATCACTTGGAATCTCATAAGAAAGTAGACTTGAACTCAGACCCTGAAACTAAATGTGT